CGCCCCCCCAGTCGGTACCGTTTTGGCCCCCTACCAACCCTGTGCCCCCTTGGACTCCACCTTGGATGGACGCCTGGAGGCGTCCTTTGGAGGGGGGGGTACTGTCAGGATCCTGCCCTGACAGTCTTGTCTGTCCTGTCTTTGTTTAATGTGTCTTTGTTTATTTTGTGCCTGAGCACATGGCTGTGTCTTTGTTTGTGTTGGCCATGTGCTCCTCTTGTCCTGCCTCCTCATTTTCAATCACCACGCCCCCTTGTTTAGTCCTTGTTTGTCCAATTGTGTTCACCTGATCCTCGTGTGCTCTGATCCCTTTATATTGTGCTCATTTCCCTCTAGTCTTTGCTGGTTTGTTTTGTGTGTGCGTTTGCCGTGCTATTGTCTTTAGTCTTGTTAGAGCTTACTATTTAGTATGTTGCATCCAGTCTAGTTTCCCTTTTGTTAGGTCTAGTTCTTTGTTCCTGTGTTTAGTCTATAGTCTAGTTACAGTCCTAGTGGTTTAGTTCTTTTATTTTATTTCCTGAACCTTTTGATTTTTTCCTTTTTTTTAATTTTCTTTCTAGTTTTCAGCAAGGTAGCTGTCTTGATTTTGTTTGTAGTTGGAGTCATTTTTTCCTAGCTTTTCCCTATTATCATCCTTTTGTTTTCATAAGTTCCAGTTTTTTATTTCTAGTACTTATTTTAGTATTTTGTTTTTCCTTTCAGTTTTATTTCCCTATAGTCATAGTTTTGCAAGTTTCTACTTTTGATCTGTGTGTATCTCTTGTCTCTCCTGTTGTCTTGTCTTTGAGTGTGTCTGTCGAGTTGGTTCCTGCCCGGCTTCCTGAGTCCTCCCTGGTCGCTGATTCTTCTGACCTGGCAGACAGTTTGGTGCTTCAAGAGTTACCATCCCCAGGGCCAAGCCTGTGGTTCCTTGAGCTGCTACCTAGTCCCCTTTTGCCACAGAGTCTGGAGCTACCCCCATCCCCAACCAGCCTGTTCTCCTGTCGTGTGCCCTGCCCTATTGTGTGGACTGTTTTCCTGTCTCATCCTTTTGTGTTCTCATTTTTGTTAATAAACTCTGTTCCCCCCGTTCATTCTGCATCTTCTGGGTCCTCCCTTGCCAAACCGTGACAGAACGAACCAGCCACTCAAGGACCCAGCAGAATGAGTATTAAAATTGTTCCACCTGCCACTGCAGAAGGGAGAGTGGCACTCCAACAGACACTGGCATCGCTTCGTCAGCAGGACCAGGAACCACGGTCCTTTGCCCAATTCTTTTGGACCATGGCTAGGGGCCTTGAATATGATGATGCAGCCCTGAAGGAGGCCTTCAACCTCACTCTGGATGACCCCTTACCGCGATGGGAGATGGAGCAACTGCATGTTTTGAATTTCTGGGACTTCTCTAATTATGTGCATCACCGCAAGGACTGGCAGATCCTTAACCCTCCTGAGGATGTCAGCAGTGACCACCACCCTGCCCTCCTTCCCTCTTCGAGTCAAGTCCACGATCATCTTCTGACTCCCACTGAGAAACGAAGAGACAGAAGAAAGAGGGTGGCCGGTGTTGCATCTGCCATTGAGTCCTCAGTGCTCGAGTTGGTTCCTGCCCTGCTTCCTGAGTCCTCCCTGGTCGCTGATTCTTCTGACCTGGCAGACATTTTGGTGCTTCAAGAGTTACCATCCCCAGGGCCAAGCCTGTGGTTCCTTGAGCTGCTACCTAGTCCCCTTTTGCCACAGAGTCTGGAGCTACCCCCATCCCCGACCAGCCCGTTCTCCTGTCGTGTGCCCTGCCTTATTGTGTGGACTGTCTTCTTGCCTCATCCTTTTGTGCTCTCATTTTGTTAATAAACTGTTTCCCCTGTCCATTCTGCATTTTTGTCCTCCCTTGACAAACCGTGACAAGTACATCCCTACAACTTTATTTTATTTTATTCTATTCCTATTCTATCCATAGCACACCTGTACATACAATTTATTCTTTTTTTGTGGTTTATATTTATGCATGTGTATTTTATTCACACCTT